TATTATGGCCAAGGTTAAAGTTTGGTAAATTCTTGCAACAATGGGTAAAAAGGTCAAGGTCAAAAAGTAAAATATGTAAGTACCCAAAGGAACGTTTTGCTACAAGGAGTACACGTGTTTTACAAAAATTACATGACTTTTCGTAAAATCATGATGGTAATTGCACTTAATCAAACGTTATAGGCAATACTGATAGCTTATAAAGTAAAAAAAAAAAATAACCAAACAATCGGACAGACGGGCCAAAAATGTATACACCTTTTCATGGATTACGAAGATATATAAATAAAGGAAATAAAATATACACAAGTTACAAAATTTTAAAAATGGTTATTTTCTCTATAAGCCATAAACGTTAAAAAATATTAACAAATAATGCAGACGTTTAAATCAGCAGCAAAAAGTTATTCAGGATAAAATATGTGCAATAAAAGTAAGATTTTACTGTAGAATTTAAAGTGTGTTAGTTTCTTTGCAAGACATATGAATGACCTGCCAATTAATGAAATTAAACTGAAAAAATGGTTAAATTATTTTGTATTCAAAATTATCAGCTTACCTCATAGAAGGATCAAAATAAGATGGCTTTTCATTTTACGTTGTTATAATATTGAGTCATGAACAGGAAGAATAATTTTATTGTATTTAAAAAGCACACCTCATCAAATATCTTGACTCATTCCGCTTTTTAAATCTTTCAAATAATAAACCAACAATCACACGGAAATTTTCGTGAAAAATGACGCATGATTTTACAAAAAAGGGGAGAAGAAAATGTTAAGGTAATGCTTTGTTATTTCGAAAAGCATATCACTAACAAATACATACAGTAACTATAGTTAACTATAGTTTACTAAAGTGAATAAAAGTTTTTACTATAGTGAATCAAAGATTTATCATAATAGTAAAACAATGTATATTAACTTGGATTTCAGATATGTTTTCTAATTTGTAAATGTATACTTTTATATCAAATGGCAATATTACATGTATCTTTACATATCATTTTAAAACTTTACATTATTGGTATTTAACTACAGATATCTTAAAAGATACTGAAAGCATAGGGATATTTACAGTACATATTGTCTTTCTAGACATATTGTCGTCGGCAACCCTCACTGCTCATATTATTATCCATCGGTCCATATCACCAGCGACAATATGTACCGAGCCAAGCTTTCTTTTCCTCATTGTTGTTTCCTAATTAAATTATTACACAGTAATACACCTTATGATTTCTTTAGTTTTTTTTATTTATCTATTTTTTTCATTGACAAAAAAATTCTGATCCCCCCCCCTCGCTGTTTTCAAATTTAATTTATTTCTACATTCAGTATTGTAAACAGCCGTAGACTCAGAATAACTGATGTTTACATAGAAGCATCTTAGTGTAAATTCAAGTATCTTCAAATTTTTTGCCTTTTTACCACTGGTGCTAGGTTGGGACCACAATTGGGGAATCAAAGTCTTACAAGAGGATATATATGGCTTTCTTTAAAAAGCATAATTTTCCATTATATTTCCATGTTTGATCATTTCAATGCATACTTTTTTAATCTGTCTACATGTATATATTCATGCTGTATGTGGCCATCGTTAATATTAAAAATGACCAAATCAAATTACATAACTCAGAAAAAAAACAAAAGCTTGTTTTCATAATGTTTCTTCTTGCATTAATAAATATCTTTAATGAATAAAGTTGCTTTTAGCAGAATGATGTATAGCTACAAGTATATTCAGAAGCTTTATAAATCGGCGCAATCTTCCCAAAATTAATACTTTTGCTGTGTTTATAACGTTATTCTGCACTATGTCTCTTGATGGCTAACAGTCAGAGCTTCCTAAGCTTCTTCACTTAATTACATATATACACAGTCAATAAGTGTATAATATTGTGATTTTCTTTATTACGGAAGCGTATTAGTGCCACTTGGACACTTTACTTTTTTAATTTTTACATTTTTAAGTGTAAATTTTACACTTCAATCTATAAAATTTACACTTTAATCCGTAAAATTTACACTTTTATGTGTAAAATTTACACTTTTAAGTGTAAATTTTACACTTTAAAGTGTAAATTCAACACTTTAATCTGTAAAATTTACAATTAATGTGTAAAATTTACACTTTATTATGTATATTTTACACTTTAATCTGTAAATTTAATACTTTAATCTGTTTAATTTACACTTTAATCTGTAAAATTTACACTTTGATCTGAAATTTTACAGTTTATCTGTTTAATTCACAAAGTCAATTTAGTAACTTCATACATGATGACCTCAGTAACGCATTTTTAAGCCAAGAAGCCATGAATTATGCAAAAAATAAAATTTAATTCTGATTTGTTATCTTAAAATAGATGCAAATAATAAGCAAATAAGTATGACTGATACAAGTAAAACTTTTCTTAGAATATAAGTGAAGAGCATATCAAACATATTCTTAACAAATGTGATTTTGATATCATCGTACGCAAATTCGTCAAATGCGCTCAGCAGTTCAATTATTGAAAGCATTATTAATATCTGTAATACATTCTACATGAATAAACGGCAACAATGGAATTAATTGATTTTTTTAAAAAAATAACCTTAATATAATTAATATATTAATAAATAAAGTATACATGTAATATACATAAATAAATACCTAAAATGTATGTTTATATTAATTTTTGAACAGCAAAGAATTTATATCCTTTGATTCAATGACGTTTCTTTACTGCTAGGTTCAAAATTGACGGTAGTTTTAATGTTATATATTATTTTATTATGACCATAGACCCACAGACTTGCAATATCAATAAGGTATTCGTCCATCCTTATTTATCATATACTTGTATACATGTACCTGTAAAAAAAAAATTGCGAACAATTTTGAACATCTCAGTTTTATACTTTTTTCAAGTGTCATATAGGTAACACAACACGTATCGTGTTGTGTTACCTATATGACCATTTGATTTTAACAGATTACAGTACAGGTTGTTCAAAAGAATGTGTAAACATTACAGATTTATGTGTAAATTTTACAGATGTGTAAAATTTACAAAGTGTAAAATTTACAAATTAAACTGTAAAATTTACACCTTAAAGTGTAAATTTTTCAGATTAATGTGTAAAAGTTTCAGATTAAATTGTAAATTGTACAGATTAAATTGTAAATTTCACATATCAAATTATAAAATCTACTCTTTAAACTCTAAAATGTACACTTCAAAGTGTAAAATTTTCAGATTAAAGTGTAAATATTACAGATAAATTGTAACGTAAAATGTACAGATTAAAATGTGAAATCTACAGATTAATGTGTAAAATCTACAGATTAAAGTGTAAAATCTACAGATTAATGTGTAAGATTTACAGATTAAAGTGTAAAATTTACACTTTAAAGTGTAAAATTTACAGATTAAAGTGTAAATTTTTCAGATTAAAGTGTAAAATTTTCAGATTAAAGTGTAAATTTTAGAGATTAAATTGTAAAATTCACAGATTACAGTAAAAAATTTACACAAAAATACGTTATAAACAAATATTGTTTTCATGAACTGTCAAAATTAAACGAAGTGGACGATGTTACAGCATCCTACCATACATAAAACTTAATATGTATCATAGTAAATGTGATTTACTTTATTGCTTAAGCGCCTGTTCAAAATATAAAAATTGTACACAAAAGTTAAGTTTTTTTTTTAAATTTCAGCAATAATACAAAGTAACCTTGAACTAGACTTTGCAATGAAAAAAAATGCATATTTATTTATAAGTAATAAATATTTTGAAATTACAACAAAAACTGAAAAATAATACAGTAAAAAATCGTTTTAATAATGCATTAAAGAAACTTTCATATCAGTAGTTTTAATATTATCATCTATTTTATGCATATAAAATCAGATGACTTTATTTTACGGGAAAAGGTATTAATTTTTTGGTCGGGATCGGCCTGCGGCCTTGGGTATATATAAGTCGGAAAGCTCGGGATCAACATTCTTTTCATCAACTTGCTGGATACAGAGTAGGTTGAATTTTTCTTTGTCAAGTTTTTTCATAATATTTGTCAGAAATTTTTTGCATCTGCCTTAAATATCCCACCCACCCATTCCCATAATTTGGAGTTTAAATGATTGCATATTTGGTTCTTGGTGCTGGTTTTTTCTTTGTATTTTACAGAATCCGTTGCACTGGATGTTGTCTTCATGAAATATGTCGTGGCATAAACCTGTACAGGAGTGGCGTTTGCGCACACCAAAGCAACTGAGGCCTACATAAACTTTGTATTGTTGTGAAATTTTCACCATTGAACTGTGAAGGGGGTTGAAATGTTGAACCATTTGATATGAAAAATATTTGCTGATATGTTGAAATAATTTGTTTTGTGCTTGATTTGTGCATATAACTAATTACACTTAAATAAGTAACCTTAAATAAGTAACCACCCGCGGTTTACCCGGGGTGGTCATTTTTTGCATATATGACTTGTTTGTGTTGATGAATTTTGTTGAATTTGTGTGGGTTTGCCCAAAAATTCTGCTATTAATTGGCATCCCACAAATTACTATGCCACGGCCAATGTTCGCCAAAATAAAGGTTAAAACAAACATTTTGTTGTCATTTCCCTGTATAAATAAATTTCATGTAAGTTGAGAATCTCTATAGATTAATCAACATTAGAAAAGACAAAAAAATTGTGTAAAAATACTATCCGAGGTAAGATCAATAGGAATCATGACAGGACCATGTCCTCAAGCTTCAACTCATTAACATGTAATATTAATTGGAATCCTGGAGTTATAAACATTGGGCCTTGAAATGTGTTCAAGATATTTTTTTTTTCGTTATTTACATATATACTCTTAATGATCCCTGTTTTTATCTCTTAAAGAAATTAAAAAAAAAGGAATATTGATACTATAAAATATTCAGCTAAGGTTGTAAGACATACAATCGTTATTATTTATTTTAGATATGTTAGCAAACTTAAATGATCAGTATTTGTTCTTGAAGATTTGTGTCAGTAGTTGTTTTGAAATTTCCTCACAGTTCTTTAATCTTACGTAAAACTAATTCATAAAATGACAGTTTCTAAGAGGTTTGCTAGACATCAACTGTACAATTTTAAACAGTGTTTGTAAACATTAAGCACAATATAGATTTTTTTCAGCCATCTTGTGGAGGGGTGAATTCAAGTTTTATTTCTGTCAGAGGTGGAACGCCCACCCTGCGATGAAGATCCTTGTAGTGTCTGAAAAAACAATTTTTTTCTGGAATTTCAGAATATATTTACTATATGTATCATCATTCCTCGAAAGAATTCATACTAAGTAATTTAATACATATTTCAGAACAAGGACAACACATTTCACTGCAAAAAATAGCTTTGTGTGCAACCAGCATAGAAAAATAGGAATCCAAAATTAACAGTACTGTATATATTTCAAAAGGGAAAAAATTGATAATTTTCTTCTAAAAACCTTCCGCCACAAAATATAGTTCCTGGCTTTATCCTACTTGAATGAAATTTAATTGCAGTTTTTGCAATGGATATAGTTTAATGTGCATTGTAGAATCTAAATTCAAACTTAAAAATAATACAGAATTTTAGAAATAACTGCTCGGACCAAAATCGTTTCAAAAGCATTAGATCGAACGCCCTTTATAAATAGAAATGACGTTTTCAATTATATTAATTTCGTTTGTTCTCTTTACTTTATGCCCCCCATCTCCATATACATACGTTGTATGAACATCTGCTTGTACAAACAGCGCCCGAGAAGCCTTGTAGGCGTCTTTATCCGCCTTGTCATCGGAAAAATAGATCACGTGTTTAATCCTCGACTGTATCAGCAATTTAGCACATTCATTGCATGGAAAAAGAGTAGAATACAATATACAATCTTCCAGACTGGTAGCATTCTTGTTAACGATTGCGTTTAATTCAGCATGACAAACTAAAGAAAAAAATACTAATTGTTTGATTTACAATAAGGCGACACGTGAAAGCTAGTATGTGATGTAATTACTGTAAACCAACTTTTATTCGCGTGCGAGAAATTTTCGCGAAGTTCGCGACAGCTTTGTTTTCGCGAATATTTCTCGCCGCGAATCTCGTACTTAAAGTCTCTCTGTCTTTTTACATCAGACAGAAAAGACCCTTATCGCGAAAATTAGTCGTCGCGAACTAGTTTATCCTTGGTAAATCGCGAAATAAAGTCGTCGCGAATAAAAGTTGGTTTACAGTATGTAATTTTTATGCAATTCCTGAACTCATGGATACCTTACCGTATTTGTGCTTTTCCTCTTTTGTCCATGGAAAGTATTCATCGGCTTTAGTGCTCGCATCAGGAAAACCGTTGTATCCGGTTGAAATGATTCTATTTTTCTTGTTAACGATGCATGCACCAACCTGAAATATAGTATATATTTAAAATAAAGTGGAGCCACATTTAATTTTTGGATACTAAATCTTGTTAATCACTAAATATGCAAAATAATACATTTGCGTCCGTACATGATTCCAGGCCCAAGGGTCTTTCCATGAAAGGTATGTTCATTACGTATTATTTCAATATCAACTTATCATAATATTATCAGATCTACAAAACTCGCAAAATGTAATATTTTGAAAGTTAAAGTAAGTGCACTGAATTCATTGAATACATAAAACAATTTTGGAATATTATAGCATGGGTAAAATGTAAAAAAGTTAAATTAAAGATTAAACTGCACATTTTCTTTGTAAAATACTTCACCTTTCGATTGGGATCCTTGCTCCTCTTTGCTGATAGAAAAGCAATACCCATAAAATACTCGTGCCATGTTATTGGTTTTTCTTCTTCACTGAAAAGTTCAAAGTGTACTGATGACTGATTGATGCGCCAAACATACACTGTAGTAATTGAAGCATATTCTTGAATTCATACCAATTATTCTCTCATAATTAAAGAAAGTCTACAAAATAAAAAAGAATACAGGAAGATTGTCTAATTCCATTTTTCAAGTCACTTTTTTCCCTTTATTTTAGACAATTAAAATCGCTGCAGCGCCCTAGGGATGACATCAGCCGGTCTCACCATGCCAACAAAGAGGTACATCGCACATGTTACTAGTAATTGAATAATCATTTCCTTTTAATAAGCGTAATATAGGAGTGAAAGAGCTACATTCATTTTATGTATAAAATGGCCTTGTCCTTAAAATATCAATTAATTGCCCATCACCCTATGTCCTATTTCATACACATATATATCAAAATATAGAAGAAACATAGTTCACTCTTTTCCTTTGACGAAGTTTCTTTTTGAGAACAGAGTAAATGGAAAAAAAAAGATTTCTAAAAAAAATACTCTTATTTTTACTTATGCAGAAAACAGGCATCTTTGACTATATACAACAAAGAATTAAAATATAAGCGTAAAAAAAAGATATTTTATAAGGGTGTGTGACTCCATTTAGGACTTAACTGAGATCAGAAAAAATGTAATGTGTTTCAAATCTACATAATGAGGACCTCATTACGCAAACGGGCCAACAAACAGTCTAATAATTTTACATCTAGAACAATATTCGGCATGATTCATTACCTATGTTAAAATTAAAAAAAATTACATAAAAAAACTGCGCATTTAAAACGTAAAACTGCATTGCAAAATTGAATTTAAGTTTTAATTTTAAGTTATATACTTAAATTATTCAGCGATGTGAATGCACAGAGTACACTACAATATTCTCTGGGAAGCCTATGTTTGTATGTTATCAATGTAATTGAAACTTGCTTTGCCCCGTTCAATCAGCTATTGGCTAAAAACTATTCTTTACACAACTTGGATTCACCGTAGCTCTAAAAAATTAACCTTTGGCAAATCTAAACATAAATGTTACTAAATAAAACTATTTTTCACTATTGTTAACTATAATACAAAGGGAAAAACTTGGAATTTTGATTTACTGTAATAAAATTGAAAATCTCAGTAAGTCCTATTAAAATCCGTAAAATTACGTTTTTGATTACAATTCTGCGCATTTTATGATATTGCAAGAGGAAGATTTATTGAGGCTTCAGAAAACTTTTTTTAAAAACCAACCCGTCCCTTAAAATAAATGTACAAGAATAAATATAAATGTAAAGATTTTGCTTGCGTCAAAAAAATAAGCAATACTTATTTAAAGAGTATTGTTCAGATATTCAACTACTTTTTAAACTGTAAATTGGAGGTCTTTAATAACAATTTGCTTAATTTAAAAAAGCCCTTCTCAAATGTACTTTCACTGGGCAACAGAACAAGTATCATTTTTAACCACCTCCCTTCCTTCACTAAAACAATTATTTCAATTATTGTTTGGATTTCTAGGAAGTCTTTTGTCTTAATGAACTGTGTACAAATTATTATACGCTTCGCTTTGATCAACCCTCGTAGTTAATTTCTTTCATCTTTTTTTTCTCACGTCCACTTTCTTTAATGTGAAGAAACATTTTTACATGTATTAGTGTCAATTTTTTTTTATCTTAACGATAAATATTGTTGTAGCCTGAGAGATACAAGCACGCAAACACATTTATCAAGTTGAATATGTTTATATCTATGTATGTTTAGGAAGTGCACATCATTATTTAAGCTTTTGTTTATAAATGATAGATCAAAACTACATTGTAAAATTGTTCAGAGAATGCGTAAAGAAATGCATTTTTTCAGACTTACCTTCGAGTATGATTGGACAAATTGCTGTCCATTAAAAAAGGACTGCAATACGTGGTCCATATGCACGTATCTAACCAAAATTCAATTGGAGATAATTTCTAGGTTTAGTGAATATTCATGTAGGCTCGTTGACATTTCCACAATGATCTACCTACGCACTTTGATTGATAGTACATTCATAACAAAATTTTTAGATGTTTTCTCCGATTAGCTTGTACTTGAATGAAGTTTTCAATTCAATTAAGTTGTTAAGGTTTAGTTATCTACAGTAAATACCTACTGTCTGTAAGTTCTTCGTACTTTTTAAATGCTTGTGCCATAGAATCAATGATAAGTTTTACACAAAAGTATATGTATGAGAGAAATTCGAATCCGCAAATAAATATATAAACACGACATGCAAATTAAGAAACAAGATTTGCCATATTCTAATTCGACTAAGGCGAATTATTCTACGAGCAAGTTGTCTTAGGCGCGAACTCTCTAACATTTTCGTGCATGCATATCTTGACGTTTGCCCATGGCATCGGTTTACCTCGCGTATATATTTACTGCGTGGAGAGTCCACGCAATGGAGAAAAAGAGAGGAGGGCGTAATTTGCCCATAGAACTAACATTCTCCATGAACTTAGTGACAGATTCGGGGTGAATAATGTTTACCTTTGTTTATTTCAGGAAGTATATATTTACAAAATTCTGTAAACAAAACGAATAAAAGCGTTTTCAAAACTAGGATGACTGGCATAACCGTAAAACATTTTTGGCAAGCATTATTTAGTGTTTAGCCACATTGTATAGCTTTACATGTATTTCTTTTGCTAAGTGTTTAAATGTTTCTGACATACCGTTGTCCCGAATCCTCAATGTTCCGCCCTTCACTATGTGTTGACTTATCTGTTCCATCTAAACCAGTTTCATTAGGCGTAGGACCTGACCTAGCTGTCCCATCCAAACCAGTTTCATTAGGCGTAGGACCTGACCTCTCTGCTCCATCCAAACCAGTTTCATTAGGCGTAGGACCTGGCCTATTTCTCTTACTCAGCCTTCTTTCATTTCGGCTATTTTTTCTCTTTGGTGCCATGTTTGCATTCTGCTAATAACTGTTTTTGTAAATAAGTGCACCTCAAAGAAAGTAATGAATTAACATATACTTCAAATTGTCATTAAAAATTCCGTAAAAATTTTCAGTCTTTGTAATATCAGCTTCGTGGTTTATAAAGCCGAAACTACCCCAAGTTATGTTGAAATTAGCTTCTTTTCTTAAGTGATCAGCCAAAGGATAAAATTGTACGAGGGGCATTTCAAAAGTCCTGAGAACTGTTTAATAAAAAATTAACCATTTTACGGAAATTATTGAGTTTGATATCATTGGAAAGAACAGAAAAATACACACATGTTGTCACGTCACTTTATAATTTTTATGACGTAATAACACCGAAAATGACGTCATACTTCCGCATACTTACAATACTAGTCATAAAAATGACGTAACAAAAGACACAATTTCATCAACGTAAAATTTTAAAAATAACTTTTGCTCATTACTCGGGTGCAAGCTATCGGACGTAAATGACAGTTGGTAGAAACTTTACATAGACTACAATCTATCATATTGTGGTCTATTTCAAAGATCTTCTTGTTCTGAGATGGTTTAAGCAATTGTCAAATATCGAATGTTTTTATCGAATCTTGCTCAAAATATTGCGTAAAACAGACCCAACTGTGAGAATAAGGCAAAGTTGGCAATCAAAGAAAAATATACGATCGTGTTACTACATTTTATGACATCAATTCTTCAGGTGTTTTAACCATATTTGTGGGATCGGTGAAGGCTTAAGAGAAGTTAAGTTTAGTGTGCCCCATATTTTCTCGTAAAATCCAGAATGGCGCGGGCGCAGTTGTAACCCCGCCGTACCTCCACATATTCGCGAAAATTAATTCATGGAAATTAAATAAGATTTTTATGTCTATGTAATTTATAAACCCTTTATGGAGTCAAAAGTCAAAAGCAGTACTGAGTTTTGGGGCGCCGAAGTTGAAGTAATGAGAAAAATACGCACAGAAACAAGTCAGGGGCAAAACTTTTGTACATTTTATTTGTAAACGGTAAGAGTACTGTTACTCAAAATATATTTGTTGAAAACTGCATTAATATACTTTAGTTTTATACAGAAATTGTTTTATTTAATACAATAGAGGAGTTATAAAAACCGAAAATCCAGTCGTATCATGTAACTTGAAATCTTGGAAGAATGTCGATGATAGCATAACCGGACATAAACCGCGCTAGTTAACAAACCAAACAATGAAATATAGTATTGTTGATAAAAAGTACCATAGTCCTACTCTTTGCAAATTAAAATTTTCTTTAAAATATATTTTCAAATAAGCCTTTGGCAGCCCTTTAAAAATTGTGCCACGTGGATAAAAACGCCAGTTTTTAGTATGCTAAACATTGTATATTCTGACGTCATTTTTGGAGATATTACGTCATAAAAATTATAAAGTGACGTCACAATATGTGTATATTTTTCTTATCTTTCCAATGATATCAAATTCAATAATTTCTGTAAAATGGTTATTTTTTTATTAAACAGTTCTCAGGACTTTTGAAATGCCCCTCGTATGTACCTGCGCTCGTATATTTTAATTTCTCCATGAGTAGGGCGGTGTTAAAATGCAATGGGAATTAGATGTAAACATGATACCCCTATCCAAATAAAAGTTCTATATCTTTCAAATCACGTTCCCATTTTTGTTAAAAATAGTATTCTATAAAGGTACACATATCAGTGATTAGTTACATAAAACAAATTGAAAAAAAAAATTGGACATTTATCTTTTTGTCAATTTACCAGGGACCGCAAGTCACCTCATCCTTTGAATTTACTTACCTTCTATTCACTATAGATATGCATTAAAGCTGAACAGGATTCATAAATAGACATTCCTCAGGTAAGTTTTTCAATCTCCGATGTCAGCACTTGGGTTTATAACCCTTCGCATTTGTTTCACATTCTTGCTTTTTAGCTGGTGGCTGAGGAGTGTAGAACATTTTTTTTTTACATATATGCATATAGATATTACCTTTCCCTGTTGTATACATTTATTTCATTCAATGTACTCTTGCGTTCGTATAACTTTAAAATGCATTGTCCTTTGCAAATAGTATCGTATAATATTATCTCTAATAACTTTTTTTTTACTAGACGTCGCTTAGAGATAAAAGTAGTTTTGTTATGCCTAAGCATATCACAATGGCAAAGAATATAACGTCAGCTCAGGTTAAATTTGTAAAGTTAAATACTATTATCTGTGAACAAGACTTGAGCTAAAGAACAGATACAAGAGAAATATGGAGGAACAAGACAGCTATCTTTTTTTATGTATCGTGTTCAGCTTTGATGTTTAGTATTTTGTTAAAGTTTATTTTAAATCGATTAACCGATAAAATACCAAAAATAGACATTGAACCACATAAAATATACATGTATCATACCTTTATTCCAAGTGCTCGGAATAGATTTTTCACGCCATTCTTCAAAATCAATACAAGATTTCCAAGTAGGACTCTCAATCACAATATTTCTAATGCAGTCTCTTTTAGATCTGCCTGAAATCATTTGATTGATCGTAGTATGTTTTTTTACTTTACCATGTACGAGGGTTGTTCGAAAAATTCGTGGACTATTGTCATATCTTTTTTATTTGACGTCATATGTTATACAAATTTAGTAGAAACATTTTAACAATAAATCCAAATGATTTCTATTGTGTTTTTTTTAAATACCACGATTTTTTAAAAACTTATCGAGATTTTAAAAATGCAAAAATCGGATCGCGTTAAATTCAAAATTTAGTAATTTACGAACAATATACAAAATAATGTCTGTAGTCATAATCACTGTAAAATGAAGCAGAAAACGAAAAATAACCGAGAAATCCAAATTTAATATTGTAACATTGATTCCTTTTCCAAATTATGGCTTAAGGTACATTGATACTCTGAAAAGAGGGATAACCCTTAATGACATAAATGTCTATTATTTCTTTCTATATTTGTCAAGTTGAAGAGTCTTTTTTGTCCAATTTTGCCCCGCAAGCTATGTTATAGTTGTTTTTATTACATACTTAGTAATAAATACAGGTTTTTTGCATATGCGATATCGCTGATGTCACAAAAGCCGTATCAGCCCTGCAGGGCTGATATGGATTTGCGGGGCTGATAACCTATATCAGCCCTGCAAATCCATATCAGCGCTGCAGGGCTGATACGGCTATTGTGACGTCAATATCACACACTTAGTAAATTAAACCACAAAACAGTACTTGTGATCATACACAATATTTGGTGGCTTTATATTCTCTTTATTTTAACATTTTGAAAATAAGGTTAATCTTTATTTACAAATACATGTAATAGATTATTTTCAAATTACGGATTGGGGACACTTGAAATAGAAGTACAGAAACAAACCGAAACTGAATGAGACAATAGACTGTGTACATGTGCATGATTATTTACTTATTTTCTTCTCAACTTAATGTGTTCTGTATTTTATTACTATGTATGTAATAAATATAATAAAACATACCCTTTTCCACATCACATCCTGTATCAGCCCTCGACCAATATCAGCCCTCGGGCCTTCGGCCCTCTGGCTGATATTGGTGTCTCGGGCTGATACAGGATGTGATATGGAAAATGGTATGTATTATTCTCTATGTATTTTATCTATAAAATGCATTTTTTTTGGAAAATCACTGAAGTTCACGCGACATTTTATAAGTGAGCAGAGGGTTTATGAACCCTTATATTTTGCTTTGTTGAAAAGAAATCAGCTTGGTAGTCCTCGTTGAAAAGGACAAAAAGGAAGACATTTTAGAATGTCATGGAGTAACCGATAACGATGCAATTTTGAAGCTATGTTTTGACGTTAGATTACCGATAAGGTGCTCCGCAGGTACAAAACATGTTGAATTTAAGATGAAGTAAATTGATTTCTGTTAAATCGAATGGAATAAAATTTCACAAATCAACAAAACAAATAATTTTACTTATTATAATGTGCTTATTTTAAATTTCCAGTGAGTGAAATAAAGAGGACTGACATCGTTCACGAACTTTTTGAGAAACCCTCGTTTACGACCCCTTACCGATTAATTGAGGTAAAATTCATATACATTTTTCTGCATTTCAAATATAGACCCTTACCTTAAGAAATATAGGAGAAGTATCCTTTCCTTTACGTCGGTATATTATGAAATCATTAACAGGAAGAATATTTTCTTTCCAGCTCATTTAAAGGCATACCTAATGACTTTGTTGACTTACCCACCTGCTATTTAAATCTCAACAATTGTAGTCAACAATCCGACGGAATGTCAGACAATAAGATAATAATTCAAATCAGGTAAAGTGCGTAATATTACTTCTATTCCACACAAAGTCACAAATGTTAAAAGCCCTTGAATGTACATGGAATATGTTCTTGCTCTCAGCTGGCTGTTCTTCCCTACCAGCAGCCGCTTATGTAGGGATTGCAATCAAGACCAAATGTTGACTCTTTCGGTCAAAGATTTTTTTAGGCTCTGCATGTCAATGTGAGGTCCCTCACCACGCATAGTACTAACATCTTGATTTAAAGAGAAGATATGCGTGTGCTGGGAGTCAGTGATTATAGATTAACTAGATTAGAAGGTAAAACACTACTGTATTCTGGTCGAGAAGATGGGCAACATCATGAAAGTGTTACATTTATTCTCAAAAAGGCGGTTAAGAAATATTTACTGGAATATAAGCCAACCAGCAGTAGATTGTTAACATGTACAGTTCGTATTACAGGAAAGCAAGTCATTCTGACCCTACAGTATGCACCCACTAATGATAGAGCTGAAAAATTAGTATGCTTTTTATAAACAAATTCAGCAAGGTGAAATGGGTTGAAATGAATGCCAATGTCGGAGCATTGAATAAA